TCAGCTCCACCTCTCCCCCTACAGCTGAGCTAGAAGCACACCCGCTGCCACAGAGATGATTTCTGTCTGTAAATATTTATTGGACTCATTCTAGCAGACTTATGAATCTAAACAGTCTGAAGTCTAAAACCAAACTCACTGCATGTCAAAAACTAGCAGCAGTTACTGTTCAGTGCAAATAATTTACTTTGAATGCAACTAAGAGTTTCAAGTTTGTCCTCGAGGAGTTCTTGTTCTGTAATCAAACTCAAGGCAGCTTTTTAAAGACTCGTGCCTGTGAAGATGTCACAGTTTAAGCAGCTCCCCTGTGTTTCTGGAACAGACTTTAGGCTCATGGCGAGTTTGGGACACACCCTCTATCAGTGATGTCACTTTTGCTATCATCAGTGGTGTGGGGAGAGCAGGTGTTATGTTACTTGGCACACCCACAGTGGAAACTTTAAAAGAGTCAGAGTGGAGCCAGGACTTTGATGCCCAACACGAGCTTCTCACAGTGGAGCTTTTACAATCCTGTAGTTTGATTATTGATGTCTTAACGATCAGTGTCTTCAACAACAGTGACGTCCGTCTGTGGCTTCAGGTTATCAGCCGGGCTGCAGTTTCTCTGTGACGACCGTCTGTGTCCATTTGTCCTTTTGCCTCCTCTCAGCATCAGACTCTAATATTAAAGCAAGAAGAAGGCTGCATCAGGACGATCGCTCTAAAAGCAGACAGCTATCAATCGTCCATGTTTTTCCTCTCCAGCTTACGGGTGATCTCATGATTCAGTAGCTGAAGCATGCTTCAGCTCACTGAGCTTTGCAGGCATTCATTCATTTACAGAAACTTCTCCTGTGGTCCTGCTACAGCGTTTCACTTAGGTTGAGGTCTGGACTCTGACTGGGCCGGTGCAGCACCTCGATTCTGTCCTTTTTTAGCCGTTCTGTTGAACACTTGCAGCTGTGGACCTTTGTCTTGTTGTATGACCCAGTTTCAGTCACACTTCAGGTGTCAGGCTGATGGCTTCATGTTTGGTATACAGAGGTGTTGCTGCTAGAAACCCAGGACCTGTGGCTGTAACTCCAAATCATCGCTACACTTGACAGCTGATTAGGGCTGTTTGTGCTGATATGCTGGTTTATGGTCAAACATCTCTGCTTTGGTGTTGTCTGTCCAAAGGACGTTGTTGTATTCCTTCATGTTTTGTTTTTTTTTAATATAATGTGGTGAATTTTAAAGTTGAGCATGCTAACTCTTGCCGGGATGAGCTCTTGTGTTTGCTGCAGTTCCTCTGAGCATTGCACGCTGTGACCTTGGAGTGAATTTGCTGGGACGTCCACTTCTGGATAGTCTTTCTTGCAATCGTGCAATCTTTGAGAAATACCGCACCGCTTTCCACTGCTATGCTGACGAT